TAAGATTATTTTCATCCTATTAAGAGAAACGAAAGTTGATCTTTTAGTCACTGGCTTGATTTACTGATGCAAAAACAGTATTGAATGATTTTGAGAGAAATATTATCTGTCTGTAATAGATTACACATCCGAAATCACTGATCACAGATGAGGCATTGGAATAAACATGGTTACTTTGCATGTTTGTGGCATTTCTGGCAGTGAAATATACAGAATACTAACAATGCACTGCTGAGTAGGGGTGTCACAATTCTCCAAATCTTCAGTCATGGTACCATTTTTAGACTAGACTTTTATGCAATATAATATCTGACCTTTGTTCGCAATGTACCACACTACATTGTCAAATTTAAAACCTTTAGTCAATTGGAAAAAAAAAACCTGCTATAGTTTCTCTTTTGTAAATTCTTCACAGAAGATGACATTCAAGTTCACAGAACAAACAAACAGTTGTTGGTTTAACAGATAAATTTGTTTTGTGGTGCCTGCGGAGATGCTCTGCCATGTTAGTCGTGCTGCCAGTGGAAGAATATGGCACACGCACATAGCAGAGCTTGCAAACTGTGGCTTTTTTGAAGCGTTAACGTTGAACGTGAACATTATCAACATAACACACCGGAAATCCAAAATACTTCCACATCGGCGACTTCAATGAAAGAGGAGGGGGTTCAAGTTCTGTCGATGGGTCTCCTGCATCTGCAGTTGCCATGCTATTTTTTGACTGGCTGTAGCTAAGTTAGAGGAGGTTGACTCACAGCACTTCAGCACACATTTTTTTTTCTCCGCTTGGCACGCCAACCAGATGTGACATGGGGGCGTGGCAACCTCGACGATTCCATTTTTTATTTTCCGAAGTTCGAGATTGTGATTTAATTTGATCGTGACCCCCTTATTGCTGAAACATTCATATTGTTGAAAAGAAAGAAAAAAAAAACACTTTCCTAGCCTTAGGATCGTTTGGAAGGTAATGGTATTGATCCCGTGTCGATCTTTTCTCATTCTCATGTCACTATTCACTAATGCTCCAGTGGGCAAGGCCAAAGACGCAATGATGTAGACGAAGTCTTTTGCTGCCCTGTGACGTCATAAGTCTCCACTTTTGAGATCCTGTTGTTTTCTGGCCTTAGTTTCAATAAAAGCAGTTTTTGGAATAACAAGGAAGTTTTGAAATTTACAGGCTATTTTTATAGTATTACAAACTCCTAACTGTCAAAAGATCAAGGAAAAATTCTCAAATCATGACCCCTTTAAGAAGTCTGTTGAGAGAGTTTTCAGACACTAATAGTGTTGTTTTTAAACATACAATTTCATTTTAGAAAAGCACTGTAACATTCTGATTAAACTTCTGCCAACTCATCCTTCTACTAACAGATTTTTCCAGGAAGATTGCTGTGCCAAGTACACATCAACATGTTGCTCTCCTGAGTGACATGAAATGGCCCCTGTTACATTTATAATTTATATTCATGACATTCATTAGGGCACCATTTCAATGCTTTTTGTGAGATACAATTACAATGACAAAATTGCTTTTGTCCATTTAAGCTACAAATGAGCTTCTTATATTAGATTTGAAAAGTAAAATAAGATGACCTTTCAGACCAAAACACTGTCCTCTGAAAAGCACGTTAAAACGCCATATGTCATTACTGCCAGGAGAAAGGGAAGGAGGGAGAAAAGAACAGAGGAAAAAGAAAAGCTTTCATGCCCCAATACACATCAAATTCACAAATGCTGTAGTACATTACCATTACTATATCAATCAATGCCTTTCTCATTAATTTCTAGCAAATATTCATAATATTTTCAATTTGTGTAAAGGTTTTTATTTTAATCACACTGACAAAAAAAAAAAATATGATACTATATTTTTCTATCAAGCAAATCAAAACATATTCCTCTCAGAAATACAAATATGCACAGGCATTGTTGTCATTAATAATAGAGAGAGGTTTGCATGGTGGAGGAGCATGTTCTTTGCCCAAAGGGCCGCTATTTTATTCCCCTAACAACTGGCATCTTTTTCTTCAGTATGACAACGGCTGGGTGACATTAGGGAAACAAAAACAGTTGGCTCACCAAGACAATGAAGCAAAATCGTTACGTCGATCCCACATTTAGTTTAGTTTAGTTTAGTTTATTTGTTTAGCACGTTTAGTACAAGTACAGAACAATGCTAGGAGGGAACGAAGCCAGACTAGGCTTGTACAGAGTTCCACTCCTATTCCTATTAACTCACGAGATATGCAGACTAAGCATCACAGAAGAAAAAAAGAACAACAACAACAAAAAACAGAACACACAAAACAAAAGATGAAAAATAAAAATAAACAACAAATGATAGAAAGCAATTCAATACAAACAAATGTGCTTAGAAAAGAAAAGCGAGGAAAATATAATATATTATATTATATATATATATATATATAAATAATAATAATAAAATAAATAAAAACTACAACATAAAAGGCATCAAGCTAGCGATAGTACACTCTTCAAATGCTTTGTAAAAGCTGAATAAGAGGACATTGATTGCAACGATGGACTTAACTCACTCCAAAGCTTAGGACCTCTAAAAGAAATATTAAATTGGTGTCTTGTGGTACGTGCGATTGGTAAGACTAAGTTATTATTGCTATGTCTAGTGTGCAATGAATGAACATGTGAGATAGGAATAAACAAATTCTGGAAAGAGTCTGGTAGATCTTGTTTCCTATAAATAAACTTATGCATAAGTAAGCATGTTTGATAAATATTTACCTTATCAATAGGGAGAACTTTAAATTTATTAAAAAGAGGGACCGAAGGTGCATATCTGTTTGAATGGGAAATGAATCTAAGATACTTTTTCTGTATAACTAATAATTTATTAAGGTGGGTAGGATATGTAGCTGCCCAAACAATGTTGCAATAATTAATAAATGGAAACAAAAAACTATAATATAAGGTTAAAAATGCTGAGGAATGAACCAAAGGACAAACCCTCCTCAATATACCCAACATTTTAGCTGACCTCTTAGAAACAAAATTAATATGATTAGACCAATTAAGACCACTATCAATAATGACTCCTAAAAATCTGGTATGCTGAACCAATTCGATTTGTGCATTATTAATGTAGATCTTAGATAATTCAATAGGGTAATGTTTGTGAGTATTACAAAAAATCATAAAGTTGCATTTTTTTATATTGAGAGTAAGTTTGTTCGATTGAAACCATTCCATGATATATGATAGTTCCTCGTTAACCATTTTTATTAGTATATTGAAGTCATGGTGCGAAGCTACAAGATTTGTATCATCAGCGAATAGAACTGGGAGAAGTTTAGTACAAATCATAGGCATATCATTTATGTAAATTAAAAATAAAAGAGGCCCTAGAATTGATCCTTGAGGGACCCCAATCTTAATTTTAGACTTCATAGAGTCATAGTCTTCCAAATTAACATATTGCTCCCTATTAGCTAAGTAGCTTCTAAACCATCTCAAGGCAACATCCTTCACTCCATATCTACTAAGTTTAGCAATCAAGATATTATGACTAACCGTATCAAATGCTTTACTCAAGTCCAGGAAGACTCCAAGAGCATATTTTTTATTGTCAAGAGCTGAAGAAATATAGTTTACAAGTTGAATAAGGGCATGCTCAGTAGAGTGTCGCTTCCGAAAACCATATTGATGTTTATATAAAATATTATTAGCATCCAAGTGATTAAATAATCTCGAATAGACAAGTCTTTCTAAGATTTTCGATATACACGGGAGAATTGATATTGGCCTGTAATTACTAAAATCCTTCGAGTCACCGGTCTTGAAAATTGGTATAACCCTAGCAACCTTCAAATTTTGAGGAACAATTCCAGTTCTCAGAGACAGAGAAAGAATATGAGTAAGAGGTTTGATAATGTGGTCAATTGTCTCTTTAATAAGAACACTTTTAATACCATCATGACCATGGGCTGCATTTTTAAGTGATAAAATAATATTCTGAACCTCTTGAACTGTTGGTGGGTCAAAATTATAAAAGGGAGGATATTGACCTTTAATAAAGGTCAATATCATTTCTTTCCGTAATTAATTTCACAAACAGAGATTAACAAAGCAGCCTAATTAGACCTTTGGAGAGTTGCAGACTAAATGAGACATTGAAAACATCCATGTGGCACAGTAGGACTCTTCCTATGAAGACTTATTAGCATGGGTATTAGTATATTACAGTTACACTAACAATACATTAATGCTTGATTGCATAACATAGGAATCTCTTCCTGTATGAAATCACCAACAGTGACTAAACCCACAAATTTGTTTACTGTTGTCAATGTCATTCATTTTTAATGACAGCTCATTTCAGCTAGAAATGAATGGTGATATAAACTGCTTATGCAATCAGTAATGTAATTAACAACTAAAATAATAAAGATCTAATATGAATGAATGAATGAATGAATAATATTGAACATCCGGTAAACTGCTATTAACATTGGGGAAACTTTAAGTAGGGAAAGATGGGGGAAGCTGCCTTCTTTATTGAACTGTAACGTTGTAATGTTGTTGTTTATTCTAAATATTTTTTCAAAAGGTTCCATTGATGTATAACTCTAAATCAAAAACTGTATGCATTTTGACAATTTATTTGTTTTGGTTATAATTGTGATAATGAATAGATTAGATCATTAGATTAAAACACCAGCAACAACATTGGGAACCACTGGGAACGTTCTGCCCAAATTCTTTAGCATCCTAAGGGTCTTACTTTAACTTATCTAACTTTAACGTTTAACTTAAAAAAACAATAAATTTACAGATCACTATTATGTTACAATAAAAAGTCAAAATTAACAAGAGCATTAATACAGCTGAAATTTGATTTACTTGCACCTGTAGTCAAGAGACCTTCTCGCCTTACATATTGAAATAAAAATGTACCCTATACTGTATATCGCTGTATAAGTGCATGTTGTCATACTCTGTGGTAACATCCTGTTCCTGTTTCCTAGAGCATGAGGCCACGATGAGCTGTGCTCAGGCTGAACCAGAGGATGGCTCTGCTAATGCCAGCATTAATAATAACACCATACTCAATGGCACCACCAATGATGAGTTGGAGTGCAAAATCTGCTACCAGCGCTACAATGCACACAACCGCAAGCCCAAGATTCTGGACTGCTTGCACCGTGTGTGTGCCAGATGCCTCAATAAGATCCTTGACATTGGGGATGGTTCAAGCTCCATCAGCTGCCCTTTCTGCCGTCACGAGACGCAGGTCAGTGAGTACGAAGTGGCCGGGCTGCCAGATGACTCGAACATCATGTCCCGTCTGGCCGTGCGTGACAAGTCCTGGAGCTCGGACCACAGTAAGGAGGTAGTGCTGACGCCAAAGAGCTTGTCCTCCAATGATAGCCCATCCCACGATTCCTCTAACTGCCTGGTCATCACCATCATGGAGGTGCAACGGGACCAGCAGCGCTCGCCCAGTCAAAATGGCAGCTCTGATTTCTACGGCGACCACAGTTTGGACTCAGTCTCCGTAGCATCCAACAGCGGTGCGGTGGACCAAGACGCACTATCTAAGTTCTGCAATCATGTGCCGCGGGTATTAGTGTGGCTGTTGGGCTTTTTCTACTTCGGTTCGCTGCCACTTGGCATCTACTTGCTGGTGATCCAGAGAGTGACTCTTGGGATTGTGTGCGTGAGTCTGGTGCCATCCAGTCTCACAGTCTGTCTGGTTTACGGCTTTTGCCAGTGTCTGTGCCAGGGCATGTGCGACTGCTCTAACAGGGGGTGACTGGTACGAAATAGGCCACTCACCCCATTGAGAGGAGATAATAATAAGCTCTAGGCATCTGAATATCCTCATTGCAAATCAAATGCTATATGTACCTTCTTGCTTTGAAAAGATGTGTACAAGCAGCTGTGATAAGAGGATAAGTCAAGCATTAAAGAGGAAGGTCAGTCAGGACGAAACACTATTAGCTTAGCATAGCTTATGCACACACCCTTCAAGCTCATTTTGAAGTAATAAAGCTGACTTAAGAAAGTTCTCCATGCCGATCAGACGATGGTGCATGAGTGGGAGTTTATCAAAGCGGAGAAGATGGACTTTATGTGTACAGCCAGGCAGAGCGGATGGGCCATAAAGAATAAAGTTTTATTGTGGTTGATTCTCATCGCTGTGAAATGAACTGCGTGCCCTGATTATCAATGAAAAGGCTCCATGAGCTGCACTGTTACAGGTTAATACGACTGGAATAGTCTGTCTGGTTAAAGACTTTGGTAACACTGCAATAAGGTTCATTAGTTAACATTAGTTAATGTACTAACTAACATTAACTAACAATGACCAATACATTTGTTGCTGTATTATCTTTGTTAAATGTTAGTTAATACAAATACAGCTGTTCATCACTTGTTCATGTTAGTTCACAGTGCATTAACTAAAGTTAACAAATACAATGTTTGATTGTTATAAACGTCTAAGTAAATGTTGGAATTAATATTAACTAAGATTAATAAATGCTGTAGAAGTAATCTTCATTAGTTCATGTAAAGTAATGTGGTTAACTAATGTACCTTATTGTAAAGTGTTACCAATATTTCTACTGTAGGTATTACAAAGTGAAAGGGTGGGTAACTACCGAGGGTGACCTTTTAATAAAGATATTTGATCCATGCTGTTGTTCTGTCCATCTGTTAAAAAATACCCTCCAGGACTGGATGGAGTACGCCATGTTTTTACAACAGGACTAGGGCTGCAAAAACGAATCGATAAATCGATAATAATCGATAATAAAAAATCAGTGAATGTCATTATTAATTAGTCTAGTCTGCTAACTATGCACGGAAAACTTCAGCCAGTGGAGTCAAATTACAGCACTGAATAACGCATTTCTATGGACAAAATGCATCTAAAAATAGTGGAGGAAACAGAGTGAGCTGCTGGCGGATAGGTGCGTAATCCAAGCTGCCCAAAACATGATAATTCTTTATTTTAAGCTTCAAGCTAATGCATAAGCGTAATGTTTAGTGCAGCTTGCCTTGTCAGGTGCTTTGACTGTTTAATGAGTGAGATATTTCCTCAGTGCAAAAGTCTCAAAATCCGTCGAAATGAAAGTCTCAAAATCCAAATGAATCAAATAGGATCGACTCAGAAACGATTTAATGAATGCACACGTCACCTCATCCACAAATGCACATCTACCTTGTTGCATTCGCAAATACTGAGCTATATAAATAAAAATCGAGGTTTTGAATTAACAACTACGTGTCTATTTGAACAAAATGCTGCACATTCATGTCATTCTGGATTTTGCACACACAAGTTGTATTGTATTTGTTTAAATGTAAGTGACGCATATTTGTGAATGTCAAATAGATGGGTAGTTGCTAGTTGTGTAAATTAATAATTAGCACCAGGCCTATTCATTTGTAGTTGTTTGTTTGTGGGTTGTGAAACTCTTAAAATAGCGAAAAGAAAGTCTCAAGAATTTACTCCGAAAAGACGTCAATGAACGCACGTGTGAAATGATCCACACATGCACATCTTTGTTGCATGCACAAATTATGATAGACCAATACAAAAGAAAACATGTGTATACAAAAATATTTCTTTACTTTTACAAATTGCTACACATTGGTTCAATTTTGAATTTTGCACATATGCAAGATGAAAGGCATTTGGTTGTGGATCGTAAAACATATCTGCAACATTAATCAAATTCCTTGATAATTGTGCTTGCACGTTTTGATACTATATTCATCCCATAAACATCCCTCTAATCTGTTAACAATGAGTTTGGTTTTTCTTTATTATTATCTTAATTTTTAATGTAGCAATTTAAACTGTCATTTTGCTTTAGAACTCATAATATAGAATAGATATATTCACTATACCTGTTTTCATATTAGCATTCAATTAGCACGTTTGTTTAAAAGACAGCATTGGGGAGGATGTGAAAAAATGTGTTTTGACAATGAAATGAAATAAAATTTAAATAAAATTGGGCTTTGACAGGAAGAAGATATAACCCAAAGAAATAATCGTTAGTTGGAAATCAAAACCAATCATCACCAATCTTACACTACAATATAGTTTTCTCTTTCACTCTCTCACTGACATCAGAATGTGAAAATGCACTTTGAGGTCATGACACAAATATAATTTGTGTCAATGGTGTTCCACACTTCCTGGTCATGCTGACATGATGAAAACACACCTGGAATTCAAGAACAGAGCCCAAACTGTCTATATAACACAACATGTGCTGCCATGCAGAGTGTACTAGATGAGATATTATATTATATAAAACATTTGATCTGAGCCCAAACCTTTATATTCAAAGGTAACATTGATGCTCACAACTACAGCGGCTCTGTAACCCTTCACTCAAGCCCAGTGTTTCTTCTCCCTGCAGGATCTTTGCGGGGTCTTCACCTTGAGTTCCAATGAAAGCCATTTATCATTCTGAACTTGAGCTAGAGACAGAGTTTGAATTCTGCCACACACAGCTTACTTGGTCAATACACTACAACAATAGACAGCACCTTGGGTTTGTATTGAATCAAAACCAGAGCTGTTTTCAAGCTCTCTGCAGGCCAACGAATCATTTCAGAGAACGTGCTTCAATAATTTCAGAGAACATCAATGTGCTACAATGAAAGCAATAAGAAAATTAGCATGAACTATGGTTGGTTTAACAAAAATTTAATTGAATTCAGCCATGAGAATGTATTTATGAGCAATCGAGAATCAAACCACCTCCTTATCAGCGCACACCACATTCTCTAAATGTAATTCAACAAACACCCCACATCATCACAAAATTCCATTTAGGACTGTATTTATACACACAATCAAATATTCAACATCTTTTTTTACTGTCATTTCAAACAAATGTGCTGCATGAATTTTAATATCTTGTGAATAATTTATACACAATATTCTCTGCTCTTGTGGGAACTTTCACATCCCTCTTTTTCACAGACTTGTTTTTTCTTCTCTTTCAACCACCCCCTCATCTCTCTCATTAATTCAACCATCCATATAACCATCCATTTCTGGTTCTTTATGAATCCTTCATTGTCTTCTAATTTTTTTTTTTTTTTTTTTTTTTTTGGCATCTACTTAAAGGGTTAGTTCACCCAAAAATGAAAATTAAGTCATTAATTACTCACCCCCCATGCTGTACCAACCCCGTAAGACCTTTGTTCATCTTCGGAACACAAATGAAGATATTTTTTATTAAATTTGAGAGCTGGATAACTCCTCCATAGACTTCCTAAGGGACTAGCACTTGACGGCCCATAAAGTCATTAAAGAAAATGTTTAAATATTCCATGTGCCTACAGCGGCTCAACTATAAGTTTATCAAGCGACGAAAATACTTTTTATGCGAAAAAAACAACAACATAAATAACGACTTTATTCGACTATTCCTTTACTTCCTTATGGGCCTTGAGACGAGAATTGAAGAGATTTCCAGAACGTATGCGCGAGAACTGAGATGAGGACGTTCTTCTTCAACTACTTCTTGTTACCGGCTTCTCACCGCTAGTATTACCGCCCCCTACCGTATAAGATTCTAGCTAAAACGTATGGCGACGTACACAGTGACGTAACGACGTCGTTCCCTGGGCGCTCTAGTCAGTGGAAAAACAAACAGGTTTGACAAGGCAAGTTGAACCAACTCCGAACCAACTAGCACCAGTTCCGAACCAGTTCTTTTTTTGGTGGAAAAGGGGTATATGATGTGCGATAATTCAGGCCAAAATCACTGAATTAACTACCAACCAAAACCGAGGACATTATGCCGATATTTGAGTAAACGGGAGACCACCTTCCACTACCTGACAAGCCTATTAAAAAAATTGTTGTTGCAATTTCAGTGTTGGTCATGGAGGGAGGGATAAACAACGTTTCTCAGCACGACAAATCACTGAAACACAAGCGTGCGGGTGAGTTATCACTGGATGATATCACTTGAAAAGATGCGGTCAGAATAAATAAAATATAAATGACTCTTACATCCATCACAAGCACTTTTCTCCTCGGTAGACCATGCGAGAAGCTCTTCTATTTTCTTAAAAGATCACGCACACCATCTCATGCAATCTATCACATCACTTCACCATGAGAGAGCACAGTAGAGAGCGAGAGACTCAAAAATAACCCTAAAGAACACAATGCCTGCAACTGCAATGGCCCTCTTTTAGCCTTTCTTTCTTTACTTTCTTTCACTCCCTCTGTGATTGTGGCTTAAATTTCCATTATATATTACAGAAAATGTAATTGCTGTCTAATTTCACTCTAGGGCAATATCTTATCTCTTTTCCAAATGACAAGAAAATAATTGATTGCATCTGTTCTCAGGCACACATAGACACACAATACAGAAGCAAAACCGCCTGTAGCTTTGCACACATGCTGTCAGAGCTCTCAGGTGCTACAGTATGAAGACTCAAGTCAGCCAATCTCCTGTGCTCCTGCTGTTACTATAGAGACAGCTTGCATTAGGATGGAATGAAGGAAGCATGTGTGCACAGAAAATAACTCGCATGCCGGAAACAGAAAAGCCCTTCTTCTGCTGGAATAAGACACTGAACAAGTAATTCGATATCTGTATTATATAAAGTGCTATATAAAGGACACTTGACTCATTACATAATTCACTAACCTGTGCCCGTATTCATTAAGATTCTAAGAATCCTCTCAGAAAATTTTTAATTTAGCTTAAAAACTTTGGGAGTTTATAGCGCACATTATAGAGGGAATGCATTGACGTCACTTTCCTGCCTGAACAACCCCCCTCAGCCTGACTGAGTGGCAAAAGATCTGCTGCGTGACTGGAATTAATAGGGGAAACTGCGAAAATGTGACTAAAACGAACAATGTTATCAATTTAAACTGAATGTTGGACTCAATATAGTGTTTCTTACAACTTACTAAAGATCCAGTGATCCATGGATATTGACATGCTGCCAGGAATCACGTTGCCTGACATTTGTGTTTGCCTGATTTCGACACCAGGGAAATAAAAGCAATAAAGACCTAAACATAGGCTAAAGCAAATCTGCCAGTGAACGCTTTATATGAATACAATATAGGTAGGTCTAAATCCAGGTGATCACTTATATCAGTGTTATATATAGCCTATATATCATCATATCGTTCAGCCAGCGTTTGGTCAGTGTTTATTAAAAACATCCAATAATGCAGAACATGTAATTATAAATATTTAATTGATGAGTTGTTAATATATATAACAATACAAAATATATAAATATATGGTTTTACACCTAAATTAAGCATATTGACACAAAATGATAACTGAAAATCCACCTTTCGCTGACTGGAGTCCAGTTGTTTCTGTGAATTGCAGCGATCCATTTGCTCCTCTTTCAATAGCATTCTGTAAAAATATACCTCAGATTTTCAGATTTCAGCGTTCTGACCCCTTGGGAAGGAACCATGCCAGAACACTTGTCCTGACTAGCACTGTAACTTACAAATACTTGTACAAACACAGACACAGAAACCACTCTCGGGATACAGATTTGCTACTATATATACAGTATATAAACTTTACCCTCAACAAAGCTAAAAAGTTTTCTTATATTGCTTTGGTCTTTACTTTAAAAGCCT